CAAATATTCACACTGCGCCAGGTCCTGGAACATAGGCATGCTTACAGACGCCCGACAATAGCTGTATTTCTCGACCTGAAGGCGGCATTTGACTCCGTTGATCGAGAAGTCTTATGGCAGTGTCTGTCACTGAAAGGCGTGCCTAGTAAGTACATCACCTTATTGAAAGCTCTCTACTCGAACACTTGTGGGCATGTTAGAGCCTATGGTGAGTTGTCCAGGGAGCTATACTCATCAAGTGGTGTCCGTCAAGGATGCCCACTATCCCCATTCTTATTTAATTTTATCATAGATATTCTTATGGAGGTTTCCCTCTCGTCACCTAATTACAAAGACGTTGACCGGACCACAGGTGAATTTTCCTTAGATCTAGAATATGCAGATGACATAGTCCTGTTAGGTGAAGACGCTGACAAGATGCAGAGTCTTCTGAACACTTTGAGTGGGAATTTGAGAATGTTTGGGATGCGATTTTCACCACCCAAATGCAAATTTTTGCTCCAGGACTGGTCTTCAGCGGTACCGCGGTTAACAATAGAGAGTGAAGTGGTTGAGTGTGTTGACCACTTCACTTACCTGGGAAGTAGGATCAACTCCGGTGGGTTAGTTGCCGATGAGATTTCTGCACGGATACAAAAGGCTCGATTGGCTTTTGCCAATTTGCGCCACCTATGGCGCCGCCGTGATATTCGTTTGTCTATTAAGGGTCGCGTGTACTGCACAGCAGTCCGCTCTGTTCTACTGTATGGCTGTGAAACATGGCCATTGAAAGTGGAAGACATGAGAAGGTTACAGGTATTTGACCACCGTTGCCTTCGTAGTATAGGACGTATTCCGTGGTGTCACCATGTGAGTAATGCAGAAGTTAGGTGTAGAGTTTTAGGGAGAAGAGGTAAGTCAGTCGACGAGGTTGTGAACCTTCATCGACTGAGATGGTTGGGACACGTACTACGTATGCCTAGTCACCGATTGCCTCGTCACACAATGTTGGCTGAGGTGGGTTCAGGCTGGAAAAAGGCCCGAGGTGGCCAGACTAAAACATGGCACCAATGTATGAAGTCTCTGACTGTTGGTTTAAGCCATGTAGGACGATGCAGACTAGGTGGTTGGGGTCCACGGGACAAGAGGAACCAGTGGTTGGAGACCCTAGGTGATATGGCTCAGAACCGAAGTCAGTGGCGCAGATGTATACACACATTATCCTCATCTTAACAACGCTATACCGAATCTCACTATTTTGTCACTCCTCTTTCCTTTCTTCTCATACTTTATATTTCTTTTGACTGCATTCACTTATCTTCATCCTTCACCTCACTACCTTTTTACTTGATGTGCTGATATGAGGTGTGGCAACTCGGACCGTTACGCAGTAATGCCTGGTCCTATGTTGATAATGATGATGATGATGATGGTCTTGTAAAACATTTTAAATATGACCTAGTGTGGCATAAAGGTCTTGAGTAATAGCCAACAAACGATCTAGAACCTATTGTCAATTCCACATACCCATTTTAAGCTATATTTATAAACTTCTTTCTTTCAAAGACAAAGAACAAGACATATAAGTTCATTTTTCTTCATCTAGAGTCAATGAATACATCAATTTCTTATCTAAATTAGAAGTGTTCTAAAAATTATTTCATTTTCATGCATATTTCTGATGAACAATTGCACATTTGTACATATAACATATAAGGAATTGGTAATCTAACAAGTTTTCTAGTTAAAATAACTCAAGCAGCGATAATCACTAATCTGCCACCATATCGCTTATTTGCTATAACCCCGTAGGGTTTTTAAATATAAAACTAACATATCTATATAATCTCAAATTATTTTACTTCTGTGTCAGTAAGTATGCTGCAAACTTGTATCTGCATTTTTCTCTGTTAAATGACCGCTGTGATTAATCACATTTCTATTAAGTAAGTAGAACTATATTACTTGAAATATTTATTAGTGAAAAGTATCCCTCTATTTACAATTTATTGGTAAATTATACGGTAAAAACTCATACAAAGGATATTAATAGTGGTTTACCGAAAAGAAATTATCTTATTCTCATCAATAAGATGAAAATACTCACAAAATACTTTTAAGAATTTATTTGATGTACTCACAAGTAGAAATTAAATTCTTCAAAATTGCATGGAATACCAAAGCATTTTGAGATTACTTAGTTTATTAAAATCCGACAATAATTACAGTGTTTTATTAGTTTCTATAACGATTCAATCCAAAATCACTCTATTGAAAAATATATGAATCTGTGCATTCAGTATTACCTGGAAAAAAATATAGCTTGTTTTTACATCATCAGATTTTCTATTTCCACTCTTCACTGCCATTTTCAATTAACATAATATGGTGTTCAACTTTAGGTGAAACAGAACTGTTGAAATGGTGGGCAATCTTTTTGTAGCTCAGGTGGATGGTCTTGATTTTGTTGTGTTCTCTGAGCTGGTCGATTTAATCGTGTGCTTTCACTGTCTTTTTTGACAGCAGCATCTGCACTAACATCATTATAAAGAGAGCTGTCGGTATATGTCGATGAGCGATTCAGTAGCCTACCCTGATGAACTGGTTTATGACAGATTGTTTTTTTTTGATTTTTGTGTGAAGGACCGCATATTTTTTCTTGTTGGATGTTACGCTGTCTGACCTTTCTGTCATTATTTTTCTGAACACAACAAATTTTTTGCACTGTTGGATTGTTGCTACCTTATTGGAGGATTCGAATCAATGTGAGTTGATTTCCTAAACAATGTAGTTTCGACCTTTCCTGCTTCACTTCTACTGCCGACAACGTCCAGAGACGGCAGCTGGTTGTTTGAATATTTCGTCAATGTGAACTGAAAACGTTATTGGTCGAACTGTGTGTTTTTCTTAGACCATGGCTCTTAGTGATAACAAGAGTATCGTCCAAATAGAGAACCAAAATTGTGGTTTGATGGCTTTCAGTCTCTACATCACGACTCCTATAATTAGTCCTAAGAACGGTTGTGCCTTTGGAGTGCCTTTCATCCTTTTGTATATCTTGCTATTAAATTGGAAGCATGTCGTCAAACAACGATTACTGAGTTCCATGAGACATAAACATTTAGAGTTTTTACGTTGCGGAGTGATTGTGTTTTCCGTGAACGACGTAGTTTCCTTGGCTAATTGTGGTTCAGTTCATGTGTATAATGCTGTGACATTGAAGGATACCATTAATTCATAGTTTTCTATATTTTTGCCTTCAATCCTTTCCAAGAATTCTGTTGGTGAGTTGGTGGTATGTTGAAATGATTTAACAAAGTATTCCAGTTTCTTTGAGAGTTCTCTGAATATGTTGCAAGTTGGATTCCTGGGAAGTGAGGCTACTGGTCGTAAGAGGATGTCCGGTTTATAAAGTTTTAGTCTTCTATAAAACTGAAACTTTGAAAACGCCTAAATAGCACCCTGATGCAAAAGGTGGTGATTTGAAGAAGCTTTAGCAATCTTCTCTGTAATAAACTAGTTTATACAACTTTTCAAGGTGGAATTTGATAGTATTAATTTTTTAAATAAGACGTATACTTAAAGTGATCAGGCTGATTTTTTCAACCTGGATCATTGTGTAAGGTAAATCAACAAGTCAATTGACGTAAATATCATCCTTAGTAATTTACCAGAAGATTTGAGTGTACTGGTACCTAATGCTACATGAACTCATGATTAGAAAGCAGTAGGAACAAAGTCTTCTAAAACGGTCATTGTCTTCACAGAAGCGAATAAAATGTATTAATTTATGGGTGCTACCTATGATTTACTATGATTTGACAATGTTAAGCAATTTTACTCTTCACAAATATCGTTCATTTTTTTGAGAAGCATCCGACTTTGCACTTACTTTTTAAGTTTGAAGCAATATTATCATTAAACATGATATTGCATACATCTTCTAAGCCATCGAACATATCAGCGATGTCGTGGAATTGATATTAAACGCTATTCTAATCCCATTCCTCTCTTATATCAGAATCTTCTGAAGCTATTATGATTTTGCATTGTTTCTGTGACATCCGTGTTTCAGATATCCACTGGATATTTATTTAAACACTTTTTTCAAAGTTAAGTTACCACGTTGATGTAAGCCACTTTATCAAGGTTATGAAGTGACTTAAGTAGTTATTGTAAACATGTAGAGATAGTTATCGTGCTTAAGCGAGTATGAGAGGATAACTGTAGTTTTATTGAATTTCGTGCTTTATCTGGGCCAACACCGGTTGCCAATAAATCAGTATGAAGTCACTTAGTTTAGAAGTTATATTAAAGATCGAGTCAGCAAAATATGTTCATCATTGAAGGCAAAAATTATATTGCAAAATAATTATGGCTTAATTGTTTACATATTGCTTTAGTATTATTTTGAGGCAAGGCTTCCATTGACATTACATTATCTTTATTCGTAGAAAATTTGGCTTCAGGAAGTTAAGATTTATAACCCGTATTTCATATATGTTCCGCCCAATCTGTCTATATAAGAATTCTAAATAAACATGAATAAGACAGCACTGATGTTGTAATTTTGAGAAAACTTGGTAGATACTAGTAATATATTGTAAATTGTGATTTCATTTCACACATTATCATTAAAAGGAGTTATGTATTTATATATCTGCTAGTAAAGATGCTGTATCTGATAGCGAAACTAAAAACCACTTTAACAACAAATAACTACATTTGATCCATCAGTGACTGCAAAACGCCTTTAACTCTAACTGCTAAGGATTCGAACCGCAAACCACTGTTTAAGTGATTATTCATTTGGTATCTACTTTAAGTTCTACTTGTTGATTCATAAGGATTTATTAGTTTCAAAGTGACTGTAATTTTGTTGTCAAGAAGTGATATTAGTTAAAAAACCATTGAAAGCTGATGTAATGAAAACTATCTATAAGCTTATTTGAATCTTTGAGATTATTATGAACACTTAAAAGGTGTCTTAAAGACGTAAACTTTTGAAAAACTTTTTTCAGGAATGGTTGTCGAAGTGTGATACAGACAAGGACAATAAAATTACATTTGATGAATTTTGTCGAGGATTTGGCATCAAGTTAACCGAAATGTAAGTCTCTATTTCTTTTTTCACTGAAGAACTTCACGTTGGTTATCTGATAAGGTTGGATGCAATATACACAAAATTTACTTACCGAAATTCAGTCGAAAAAAAATCATAGGACTGAGTATTTCCAGGTTCATACTTCAGATACAACATTCTAAATTCTAAGTACTTCGCAACATAGTAGGAGAACAAACCTGTGAGGTTAACCACAGGAGATAGAAATTGTTAGCAAACGAGCAATATTTTGTTAACAGTGATTTGAAGTACACTAGACTCAGTCTCTTCAAACATTTACCAGAATTACAGTTAGTTTGCTAAGTGGTATGTTTTGATACGAATAGGCTAAGAAACTAGACAATGCAGTACATTTAATTCAGTATCTACCTAATATTTAAATACATTATCAGAGATAACTCAGTAAGAATTATAATCACGTTAAATGATAAACTTTTTTATATTTTCAAGTTATTTATCCTTAATTTCCACTTTGATCTCCGAATGACTCCCTTTATTGCTAAATAAAGTTGAAAAGGAGTAAAATGCAAGCTATTTTATAAATTCTTTCTTCTCGTAGCAAGGATATTTTACAGCTAAAGAATGGAAAATGCTCACTTTTGTGTTTTCCGGAGCAATTCATATAATTAAATTAATATGTTGTCACAGTCGACAGATATTTGAACAAGTGAATTTTCTCACATTTGTCAAATATATAATCAACAGGCTATTTATTAAAATCCTGTTGAAACCCAGGTCACGTTTCAACTTCAAACATTATTTTTATTACACTAAGATAAGTATGTTAAACTAAGGCTGTACCAGTAAGTTTCGCCAGCATAAGTAAATCATATTAGAATAGAATAATATATATAGGTGCTACAACTTCAGTTTCATTGAATTAACGCTCGTTTGCTGAATTCATGTAGAAGCATTATTGTTGACTTCTACAAAATGGCGGCTGCTTATGAGGATTTGGCGTAACGCTGAGTAGATCATTCATTCCAAACTAGCGAGCCAATGTTTGGCGAATTATTTTAGTCTACCTTATCCCTCAGCTGGTGAGAAATCTGTTGTTATTAGAGTAGTTGCCAGTAATATTTCTGCAACATCTTTCAAACGAATGGTGGAAAATGACAACTCTAATTTGAAGTTTCTGTTGTGATTATGTAGTCAGTGAAGTCATAAATTAATAGCAGATTCAACTACAAAGATGTGTTGAAAAGAAGAAATTAGTGTGGGAAGATAAGATAATCATTTGAAATGAAAAATTGTTCTCTGACTGACCATTCTAAATTTATCCTTAGCTTTATTAACTAGTACCTTACGTTGAGTTAGGAAAGTATCACAGGTTGACAGTAAGTTTAATTTTTATTGGTGTTCCCTTCCGAATTCCTCGATTCATTACCACTTGAAAGTAACGTGTTTGCTTCTAAAGAAATAAGTGAAGAGTTATGTTTAGTCAAGATCACAGTACAGAAGAATAGGGTAGTAAGATATTGGTTTACTTTAGACTTGTCTACATTTTAATGTTTATTACCATATTTTTAAGGCAAACAAGTGTCTGTAAGCGTACGCCAGGTAACTAATCAATATCCTGTTTGGTTTAACAGAGTTATTCAAGGTCCTTACACCTCTCCAAATGAAAAAAATGTAAATTAGATTGAATTATAAATTGGCTTAACCTGAATTTTCACTAAAAACTATTCCATAAAGTTGCGTAAATTCATTTCCTTCTCTGATTAGTAGATTACTACAGATATTCTCACTCTGATGGAATGCATTTTCAAATACTTTGTCCACGATGAACTGACTCCAACCACTATGGAAACGTAAAACACGAAAACACTGTATTTTATATGGTTTATACTTCGGGAATGGAACTGTTAGTTACTTTTCTTTCAGCTACTTGTTTGTTTACTTGCAACAGTTCTACTTTTAATATTTTTTGTCTGATCGATTCCTCCTACGAAGGTAGTTGATAACTTCAGAATGGTAAAAAGTAACGTTTGTTATCACACTTAACTATGTTAGATTTTATTGCAAATAAGAGCGCTTAGCCCGCATTGTCGAAGCCATGTTAAAACTAGTGAGGTCTCATCGTAACTTAGCTTTCAAACAATTTTCAAGGCAGATTGATCCATATTTTAAAGCAATTTATTGCAAAGTTAATTCATTTTGGATTTTTTCTACCGTTTCTGCAATAAGGCGAGTTGAAAAAATTGAAAGAGCTCTGACATGGGATGATACTGCAATTTCAAAACCAACCAATGTACAAATTATCAATTCAACAATGTCAGAAAAGAAACAGGCCGAAGTGATTGAAACTTATCAGAAATTAATGAAAGAGTATGGAGCAGATGAGAAAAGTTTAGACAAAGTATCAACAGGACTTAAAAAGTTTTTGGAAGAACGTTATACAAATGTTTGGCATGTGATCATAATGAATGGTTCCTTTTGGATTAGTTTTTCCCATGAACCATTTTGTTCATTACAGTTTAAATCGGAAAAGTACACGTGTTCTGTTTGGCGTACACCAGACGGACAAAGATACGGTTCATAGGTCTATACCACTAACAATTTTTGAAATATTATCCGTCAAAATTTTACTGTAATTTGTGTTAGCAAATCAGACTTATATTTCATACTGTTATGTATTATCGCTCAGATTCCTTTAACTCTTAGATAATATTTGTATTGTTATGCACATATATTCACTTTTGGGTATTATGTAAATATCATTATATATATCCAACAGATAAAAGCCAATATCTTAAAACGAATTCGAACCGTTTCACTTTATTATACTGTTAGTCAGTAATTCGCTTTCAGATTTCATTGGCTTGTGACCGTGAAAGAAGGAATAAATAGGCGTTTGTAGAGTTCTTCTCCGGCTCAGTAATGGCAGTAATGTGCATGTTAGTAAAGAATGGGTTATGTTTCACTACGTTTTGCTTGCATCTGATATTCTGAACTAAAGTGGTGACTCAAAGATTGATATATTTCAATTCTTTGACAATTCATTGTAAAATTTAGGTCGAAGGGTCTTCTGATAATGCATCATGACAGTTATTCAGTCAATATCTTACAGTTTTCAAGACATATTAAAACACAGTTTAAGCGCTGAAAGATTCATTTTTGAATCTTATATGCCCATATAAGCTACATCTACTGTTCAGTCACTCATATGAAATAATTTGAAAGCAGAATTAGGCAAATTCATTTTTATTACCAGTAAGGTTACAATAAGCTGTTACCGGTTTCATATGGTTACGGTTAGTGGTGATAATTACCTACTGCATGCGACAATTAACTTGATTATTCTTGACTAGGAAGGTTAAACATTTTCACTCTTTTTTGTGGGCAGTAGAACCATCTTTTTGCTGTCAACAACCGGTTCACTGAAAAAGATTGGGTAAGCGCATGCTAGCTTTCTTTAGATTCCTGGATACGTTGATGAAATTTTCATTGTCAACCAGGTATTTGATTTATAAAAATGGCTACGTTTTTCGGTGTTATAACCGCATTTGGTTTATTGAACAAAGAATCTCTCTCATGTTATGCTTTTTAAAATAATACCTATAAGATATAGTCTAACATTTTGAAATTACTCAGGAAATATTTCGGGCGAAGTGACGAAATACAATGACCTATCGACTTTGCTTTACATGGACGACTGTTACTCAGAATTGCCCGATTTCTTCATTTCTTGAGAACTTTAGTGACCGTAATGTGTCATACACCTCTGAAGAAAATGGATTATTGGAGATCGACTACTGGCACAAATCAGTCAAAAAGTTGGCGCATCTGTATATTTGTATGAATTGCAGTATTGTATAGAATGCAGTTTACATCCGTACAGTAAATATCAGAAAATCGTACACCAATTTTTCATATTCAGCGCTACCGTAACCTAGATTGGGCTGCGCACGGCTGGGATTGCAGTGCTTCAGTGATAATAGTCGTTTACTACATCTGTAAATATTAGTGTCTAAGAATAATCGGTGTATTTCGTCACCACTATTATTATAGGATTTGTCCATAATTGATAATGACGTTGTGTAAGTAATTCTAAAGTATAACGCGGTGTGCTCAAGTATTATGGTGATCGTCTCTGGAAAGGTAAATTCATCTTGAGTCTCTAGCTTTGATAACTTGATTAATTTTCGTAAAGACTTCAGTTTCGTCACATGTTTACTGTTAGATAGATAAACTGAAATAAATAAATAGGAAGCCACTTTATAAATGATAGTGTGAATAAAAGAATACTTCCGTAAGAATTATGGCGCTCTGTTTACCACACATTTTCAGCTGGGGTTCAAGAAATCTTACAACTAAGCAGCTTGTAAAGAATTCCAGTTTTGACTCAAAAACTGAAGGCAGTAGCGAACAATCTACAGCTTTATTAATTAATGCGAAGTTTTCGGGAACTATTAAATGTGTTTCGTAGGACTGAACATCCTATTATTCATTGTAATTTTATCTTTCTTCATACTTTGATAAGTTTATCACGGTAGTGTGCGGCTTATTTCTTATTGCCAAGTAGCTATGAGCAAACTTATGTGAATGACTGGTAACTTTCATATCTTCCGTTATAAAATGATTTCAACTGCATTATTTTTCGAAATAAGTAAAGAATACCTAGCACTTCAAACAGAAAGCACCGCACAACTTTACATTTTGCCTTTGTTCCAACCAACGAAGTGGTGTATCTTAGATTTTACACACGAAGTTTTCGTGTCATTATTATTATTATTACATTATTTATCCCTTGGGCTCCTAATGGAACATAGGGCTTCAGTAGTACGTCTCCATTTCAGTCTGTTCGCCGCAGTCTTTTGAACCTGGCTCCACGACTGCCCACAAGCTTTCATTTATTCCTCACATGACATCCTTCATGTCGATTTCGGAAGCCCAAATCGTCGTTTCCCATCAGGGTTCCACTCGACGGCCTGATGTGGTGCATGATGTCCCCGAATGGTCTTCTCAGTGCATGCCTAATCCATCTTCAGTTCTTCAATTCTGCATATTTGTTGAGCGATAGGTTCATGGGTGTTTCGTTCCCAGAAGGATTTCCTTGTTGCTTATGCTTATTATTCTGGCCATCTGATCTTCAGTAACGAGGCAGCTTAGGCAGTTGTTGATGAATGTCTGTAGTTTGTTGGAAATGCTTTTCGTAACGTGCTACGTTTCTGACCCATATAGAAGCACTGACTAGACATTAGTGTTGAAGATCCGGATCTTGTTCACGCTTACTACTGATTGGAGAAGATCTCCACACTACCTTCTCATCTCTTTTGCAATCTAGGCAGCCTTGCTAGGTTAAAACAGAGTACGGACATTCCATGTCCACATGTTTACTTTCGCATTCATCGGCAGAAGTGAAGACACATCTGCCAGTAGGCTAGCCGAAGGCTTTCACCAATCGGCGTCATTTCATCTCCCCGATTCCAGTGAGGAATAAGTTTGTTTTTATTTTTTATATTTTGTCTGTGCTTTGAAGTTTGTGTAGCGGTTGGGTTGGTTTTCCGGGGTAGGGTTGCAAGCCGTATGCCCGACCTTCCCTCTTTACCCGAGCTTGAGACCGGCTAGTAACTAGTGAACTAGTTAACCACGCGAGGTTTTTCGTGTCATTAAACTCTTAAAATTGCTTGGTACGCCGTAACAGTGAGCTCATAGTCTTCCACTTTTCCTACAACACATGTAACCAAGTGTCATGTAATGTGAGCGATCTAAGGCAAGACAACCTGAGTGAGTGTTACTGGAATAAATAAACGAAATATCTCAACTGCATATCAGTTTCTTGATCATTATTACTGCTGACTTATACGAATGAACTGATTCTTCTCTATCATTAGGTGACTCTTCGATGAATAACACTGGTAAGGATTCGCCGACAATAAAGTTACAAACTTTTGTTGATTATGATGGATAATGGCTAGTACTGGAAACCAGGATGGGTGTTACGTTCTATTCGGGGCTCGTTTGCTGGATGTATTTGCCTTCTAGTGATCGACGCTGTCCACATGGGGACTCGGACCTAGAACCAGTCACTTCAAGAGCCATGGCGCTTTCTACTAGTCCAATGAATCACAATAGCTTCTCCTTGTTTGATGGGTATATTATAGTTTTGATATTATAGCTTGTAACATATGACGTCAAAAAAGATGAAGACTATCAGTAACAGTATGGTCCAATGGAACAAATGGTTGTTATCATAACTCATGACTGAGTGGACAACCCTTCGCTATTTTTAGCACGGCATATACAGTTTTTATCTCATTTTAAATATCAACCGTCTTCGGTGCATGATTACAGTCAGCTGACGAATGTCTAAGAGTCAAAAGGATTTATCCTCTATCTTATTGGTAACCACTTCTAAATTCAGCTCTCAAACAATACTATGGTTCTGTTGTGATCAAAACGATAGAACTTCCCAAAGTCTTTGAACTTGACTGTATACACATAGTCGTTAAGTCAAGTAACTTCATTTGTGAATAATTCCAATTGTATACCACTGTCTGTATCTTATAAGTCAATACACTGGATGTTTTTAATGCTTTGAAGATCTTGTCTTCAATGAAACAAATTAGTAAAACATGTAGGATTATTTTTAGTTAACTTTTTTTATTAGTGTTCTAACAGGTTTCCACCTCCGATTTTCGATGCATCTCAATAGGTATTTTTCTTAAAAGTTAATTTCAAGCATTGTTAAACTGCCTAAGAAATCAATACTCTAGTGATAGAGTTTTCCAAATGCGTTAAATTGATCGCAGCGCCTAAATGTCTTCCAAAAGTTTTTGCAGCATTTGGATTCCCTCTGTACAGAAATATTCAGCTTACTTGATGAGACTTACTAAATCACTTCATACTAAAACCCGATTTCGGTAAAAAGGAACGGTAACTAGAGTAGCCATAGCGGTCAAATAAAGGAGAATGGGTGTGCCAGATTTGTCTTACTTGTAACAAACGACAACTGTCAACAGGTAAACCGGAAAGAATGGTTATTTCACTGGATCCAGTAGGCATGTAATTCTTTAAATTGCTATGAAATTTAGTCGATTATAGATAAGCCAATTTAGACACTGTCAATCGTGTCTACCTTGATGATGCAAAGAAATTTCTTGTGAGTGGTAAACTTAATCTCAATCTAGCATTTGACCACAGAATCGTATGATGGATTACAGCTTCTTAATACACTAATTTTCACTACTTAACTTTCATATGAGTTGAAAGAAACCTTAACAAAGATCTCAAAGAAAACAGAAACTTTATGGTTTAATATTATTACTACTTTAATCAGCAGTTTAGTGACCTCTTTTGAGCTAAGCAATATAGATTCGTTTCATCAGATACCCAGTGTCTTACTATAAACCAGTTGTATAAAAAGATTGTGAAGTTATCAACCCTTTTTTCAACCAGTTCATGCCAAAAGAATTTAATAACAGGTGTTACTATGTACTTGTAGTGGTGTAAGTCATTATAGTGGTCACAATAGAAATGAACATTGCATTTGCACCTTAGAATGAATTTTTACTGCTATCAATGTATGCGCGTCTTGATACTGGCCTGTTCATGAGCGTAACTCAATCTAATGTTATTGTCAGTGATATTTTGCATGATGTATTTACAACTTGTACTAACTGCGATTTGTGAGAATTCTGGCAAATATGTTACCATATTCTAAGCACTCTGAGGTGGATGGATTTTTGTTCTTCTTTTTTAGTGAGAGATGATTTACACATTCATATACATACAAGGTTTTAAAGATAACATTAACAGTAACTGACGTTTTGTGTGCACCTATATAATATATTAAGACATCTAAAATGAACATCTATTTTCTTACGGTGTGAAGTAACTTGAAAGCATGTTAAA